GAACCCTCGAAATTTTCCTCATCCTCGGGGTACGCCAACTTCTTGGCCTTGGCCTCGAGCCTCTTAACATTTTTGATCTCGGTCGATAAATCGAATCCCCGAGTATGAACTTCCTCGAGAGCCTCCCTCCAGGACAGCCACCTCACATATTCGACAATGGCCTTCAAGCGTTCCTGGGCTGCCTCAGCATCACCTTTAATTTGTATTGGGCCACCATCTCTTCAGTGTCAGCCCTGGTTATTTGCGTTGCTGACTTGGCTGCTTCAAGCTCCTTGGCAAGGGTATTCCGTGCGGCAACAGACGAGCCTAGCTGATACTGGAGGTCTTCGATTTTTTGGGATCGGGGTTCAGCTTTTTCCTTCACCGATCGAAGTTGGGCCTCCGCCGAGGCCAGTTGCTCCCGGGCAGTCTTCTTTTTCAAAGCCAATCGGTCCATCTTGCCCTTCCACTATTCGGCCATGGCCTTGAACTTGTTCATCTCAGCTCGGAATTGGTCGACCCGATCAACCTTCTGTTGGACTTGCGGATTCTGACCGTTAGACGCCGTGTCTAGCTTATCATCACTAACTTCAAAGATTTTTACCTGTTCCACCAGGTCGGCGTGTTGTTTCTGAGCCACATCCAACTCGAATCGAAGGCTGTTCACTTCTCTTTCATGCTGCTCGATGAGAAGCTCATACATGCCTCTCTTCTCAGCAAGTTCTTTGACTTCGGCCTCGAGTTGGCTCAGCTCATCCTAGTTCTCGGAGGAAGGTTTCATGATGGAGCACCGAGGCCTACAAATATGAGAAGAGATATTAGAATTATCAAGAACTAAAGTTGAAAAATTAAAAAGTTTGGTAACACCTTGCCCAGTTTAGCGCCTGTCGTACTTCGTTGAACAGGCATGGCGCATCTACCTCGTTCATTTTTTCATGGTCTTCTTCGGTTACCAGGCACCGGAGGTAACTAGCTATCCTTACGATGGAGGAAAGAATCCGGGCATCCTCCAGAATGGTGATAACGGCAGACCACTTCTGACCAGGATCCATGCTCGGAGCGGGGAACCGATTGATCAATCTCGGGCTCAAGCTCAACTCGCCGACCTCCGAGGGTGGAATTTTCCTTGGCACCTCTAAGTCACCCAATCCGGTGAAATCCTTCGGGGCGAATGAGTCTACACCATCAAAAAAGCCTCACAGGGGATCATCCGCTCCACGGACCCCCTCGTGGGATCGCTCCTTCGTCGTTCGGGCTTCATCGAACATTGATTCTGTGAACAAAGGCGATCCCGAAATATCTATAATGCTAGGCGGGGTAGAGCCGGAGTCTCGAGAGTTCTCGGCCCTCACTTCGGCATCAACCTCGCGAACCTGAGGGGGGTTAGCTTCCATCGTTTCCCCTTCGGCTGCCACCCATTCCTCGGGAATAGACGGCTCGTGGGCCATAAATATTTCATCCTATTCGGGCTCATCTCTGAGCCGGAGGAGTGATTTCGAGTCAAGCACTCGGGAGCTAGAAGTTTCCTTTGGCTTACGAACTAGACTCTTTCTCATTTTCTTTTTCTCCGAGCTCGGGGAACTCGTGGCCCTTTTCCTTTTCTTCTCCCATGCCGTGGCTCCAGGCTGTAACGAAGCAGAAGAATCAGTAGGTAAGTCCTCGTCCCCAACCGGGTGCCTAAGCTCAACGGTCTTAGGCAAACCTGCAAAAGAGAAGTAAAGAAAATATAATAAGAATGTGGTGCTAGAAGAAGAAGCCTAGCGCAACCTATTCGGGAAAAAGATCTTACCATGAGAACGGGACTCCCAACGGCCCTTCAAAAGTTTGCGCCACGAGCGCTCGGAATAGGGAACTGCGAGACAATGCCTTCGATCCATTCCTTTAATCAGAGAACAATATTAGGGACTTGAGCAACTGCGCCACCACAAACACCAATGAGGAAAAAGAGAGATGCGCATGGAATCAAAATTCAAAGAGAAGTTATACTTACGTGATGCATTCCATTTCTCGGAGAATGGCCTAGATTCGGTTGGAATCAAGTCCAAGGTCCTCACCGGGACAAAATGTCCCTGCCAACCTCAATCCCAGTCTTCATCGATACTTGAAAAGGGGGCCTTACTAGCCCGACGCATGAGCTTTATCAGTCCCCCTCGGAAGATTCAGGGACTGTACAGACAGAGCATATGATCAATGGTGAACCGACAGGAGTCGATCTGGTTCACAAAAAATCGAAGGAGGATTACGATCCTCCAAAACGATGGGTGGATCTAGCCGAGACATACCTCGTACCTCTTACAGAAGTCTATAATGACCGGATCTACCAGGACCAATGTAAAGGGATAAGTGTAGACACTTAGGTATCCCTTAACGTGGGTGGTAATGGCCTCCTCAGAGTCCGGACCACTATGTCCTTTTCGGCCCAGTTGCAGTCCTTTCGGACTAAGGGGAGATCATCTTCGGTGATCGAGCAAATATATCTCGATGCCTCCTCACGCCGACCCTGCACTGAAGAGGGCTTCTCGACCTTGAAGTCGTCAGCGATCGAACAACCCCCGGGAATGAACATCTTCAAGGGAGGTTCAAGAGACGGTTCATCGATAACTACGTTAGCAGCGGATCTCCAGAGGTCGACCACATCGGAAGTGGTTTCGTTGGTTTCGGAAGTCGTTTGGGAGGTAAAAACGACCTGTTGAGGAAGAAATTTGGAGGTTTTGACCATTGTTGTATGGGAAAAACTTGAAAAAGATAGAGAAATTGTGAAAGTTGAAAGCTCAGATGTGTTGGCTTGAGTAGAAGACGAGTAAAAATTCTGCAACGTACTTGAGTAACGGAGGTAAAAATGTTAGAGTGTAAAAGAGGGTACTGGATTTCTAAAGGCACGAGGGTAGAGGTTTGAGCGTTAAGTAAAAAAATGAACAAATGAGGAGGTATTTATAGGGGCCTCACGACGCATCCAAGAACAGCCAACCGACGACTAACGTGCATTTAAGGCCATTATGACATGACTGACGAGACGTTTTGGAATTTTTGTCGTTTCTGTCACGGTGTATTGAAAAAGGAATCGGGGTTCTCATGTATTTTCTCATCAGCCTGCTCTCCGAGAAACGAGGGGACTATCTGTATACGGGTAAAAACCGAGCTCATGATACACTCTGGCCTCCAATAGGATAAAATGAGCTCGAGATATGACTGCGAAGGATCGGAATCGAAGCAAAGGTCTCATCGAGTCAGAATCCGGGAGCACGATGCCTGCCCTCGAGAATATCGGGGTTATGATTCGAGATCGATCAAAATCCTGAAAGACTTCGGAGAACATTGTCGGGCAATCAAGCACGGCCAACAGAAGGCCGTAATATCCGCGACCGACGGGATATCACGGCGTGGATCTCGGCACGTATCGATGAAGAACCCGTAATAAGTTAAACAGAATATTTTTACCTTTTATGGAATTGTACTTAGAGTAGGATTCCCCTACTATATAAATAGGGGTTTGATAATTCATTAGATACATTGTAACACGCATTTCAAAATAATATACTACTATTTTCACTGTTATTGTAAGCTTTTCTCTCGTTCATCAAAATTTTCTACTGTGAGCCCGGATCGAGGGTGAATACTTCACTAAGGTTGGAATCATTCTCCTCGCGTGGTTTGAATTTACTGTATCTTTACTTGTCCGTTTTAATTCAATCTATCGTTTTGTATCAAATTAATCTGCATATCCTTAAAATCCCTTACAAATTTACTTGTTATCCGATTTTGAGGGTAAATAAAAACATTAAGTATATATATTTTTTGTATATTATACAATAGATTTTGAAAGCTTTATTTTTGACAGCGGCTAATGCTATACTGTGTAATTTTTCCTCAAAAAAGACACAATTGTTTTTATGTAGTTTACCGTGAACCTATCCGAAGAACTTGTGTTGATGATTCTTGTGAAGAATTAAAACAATTGTATATTGTATTCTGTCTCTGTAATTCAAATACGACATTTACTGACTGTTTTTTTCTCCTATTATGTTCTATTTTATTTTATTTTTCAGGATTGACCAATATGGGTGACACGTCTCATGTAACGTAAAATGTTGACTTCCACTTTCCTGGTTTGTTGGGTTTGTGTAACAAAATATATTAAGTGATGAGGCTGCATAACTGCTTGTGCATACATTGCATTCACATGTGGTAAGTAGACTTCAATTAACCCTTATGAGTTATGATAGAGATTACATGTAACTATTTTGTAAATTATCTGATTGTATGAATACTTTTTATTATGTTAGTGTATAAAACTTAAACTCATAACAAAAGCAAATTATTAAAAGAAAAATTGTAATACAACAGAAGAATATGAAGAGTATAGGGAACCCCAAATCATTTAGGCTTTCACATAAAAAATATTCAACTGACTTAACATATCCTTTGATAGCAAAATATCATCTCTTTTATGAATTAAACAAGTCTCTCCATAGACCAATTATAAACTCGATTGATTGAATTTCTGAAGAAGAGATATAAACCATTTTGCATTATGTTCCAAGTGTGAATACCTAATTTTTGTACTGTTTTAACATCTCCTAAAGTCATTAGTGTTTTGTTGCTTTAATTATATTTCCCAATTTTTGTGTCTTTGATTGCATATTTCCTATCATAAAAATACCAAAAAATAGTTCTTTCTTTATTTGTGCATTTTATGAATTAACTAACTATTCAATTGGTGAATTAATATAGTTAATTGATCATTTGAATAAGTTACTTAATTAATTTATTTGTTTGTATACATTTAGTTTAATAAGTAGGATTAAGAAAGAAATTGGGCCAAATTTGAAAGAGAAAGTGACCAAAAGTGCAAGATAAGGGGGCTGCCCTTGAAAGGGTCCGAAACGACGTAGTTTTGCCTCAAAACTACGTCGTTTCATTAATTGATCAAATCTCACCCATTGATCACCTCTTGATCTAATGGTCCATATTTGATCTCTCAAGAGGCATTTAAAACCTCAAAAATCTGAAAAATTCCCTCATTTCCTCCATAACTCTTTCTCTCTTCTCTCTCTTCTCTCTCTTCTCTCCGTCGCCGTCGCCGGAAATCACCCACCGGCGGCGGCCAACCTCCAAACACCCCCAAATTCACACCATGTAATCTCTACAACCTCCTCTTTCCATATCTCCAAACCAAATCCTTCAAAACCCCCTCAAACGCCTTGATTTTTAGATCTAGAAAACTTTAGCCGCCACTTTTTTGCCCAAAATATTGAAGTTCCGGCCACTACCACCCCACAATACCTACATCAACGGATAGAGCTCATCAAGACCTACCTATTGATGTCAATTCCATCCCGAAAATCCGGCAAACTAAAAATCCGGCCAAATTCTGGCGACCACCCCGAACACTCTCGTTTGGTATACCCCTATTCTCATTTCCTTTGTCTATTTTTTCTAATGGTATTGTATTTAGTTTATGTCTAGCATAATTTTTGTTTTTTTTATTTTTATTTTTATTATTATTATTTATATTTTTATTATTAGTTGTGTTTAATCTATATTAGCTTAGTCGTTCATAGTTATTAATCACTGATAATTAGTTATTCATTAGTTTTGAAATAGCTATTTGCTTAGTCATGATAGTTTATGATAGAAGATTCAAGTGCTTAGTGAATTTCTTTTTATTGGATTTGAGTATTTGAATTTTTGTGTTGATAAAAGCTGAAATTAAAGAAGGAATTGTACAAGTTTGGTTGTTTTTACTGTGCAAAGACTTTGGAGTGCAAAACTCAAAAGTCATTGTGTGGTGACAAGTACAATATTTTTTGACAGTTTTTGAACAGTGTTTAGCACACAAAGTCAGTCTTTTGGATAGACTTTTGGTGAACCAAAATCTGTCCAAAAAATCCTATTTATTTGCCTATTTAAAGGGTCCTTACTCACTAAAAAGGAACAGACACTCTATTACACACTCTATCTTATATTGAGACACATCTTGGAGAGTTGCTTAAAGACATATATCTTTGAGAAAAATCAGCAGCTTAATACATATAACAAGCTGAAATTTCAGAGTTTTGTGAGGATTATTTGAGTGCAAAAACCTTGAGAAAAATAGAAAGATCCCTTAGGCAATTTGTGAAGTTGATAGCTACCAGTTTCAAGCATCTTTGTTGAGTTTTCTGGGTTGTCTTAACACTTGAGTTGCTGCTGTTTCTACTGTATTTGCTAGTTTTTTATTGCTGCACTACTATATTTTATTATTCTACAAATCAGGTAACTTTCAAATTCTTATATTGCAGATTCTTGATGATAATAAGAAGGATTTGATCCCGGTTTGATTGATGGAACATATTAGATATGATTTTGTTTCAAGATGAATGTTATATTAGTGTTATCATCATGTAAATCTGTTAAAAATTAGTTAAATTGTCGTTTTCTTCTATATATATGTGATTGAAATCGCATTCTGTTAAGATTACTTAGTTTAAGAAAAAGATAAAGACCCCACTATTAACCATGTTTGTTTAGTTTGGGCTCTTTTCCGTGAGTTACTTTCATATTTCATGTATAATTATCTAAGAAAGACTTCTAGCTTCAAATGTTTTGATGCTTTGAATTATAGTCAACATAATGTTATACTTAATATAGTTCTTCTCTTTAGCATTGAAGTATTACCGTTTTTTGTAGTTTTTATATTTAGTCGTGATTTTTATGTTGTTAATGAGTGTAGTTTGATTAGTGCCATGATTGGTGTAGATGAGTAGAAATATTATGTTAGTCCTTAAGAAATAGTTGGTTAAGAAGATAAAAGATAATAATTAGCATGTAAGTTTCTTTTATGAAAAAAATAATTTTTAGTTTGGACATCAATGTAAGAAGCAATTTGGGCTTAGAAGAATACTTGTTATTTTGTGTTGTCTTGGTCGTCGAGGCTCTTAAGCAACATGGGCCAAATAAGCTAAAATTTATAGGCCCAATGACAATAGAAAGTAAGATGGACATTTTTTTTAAAACCAATATATTATCTTTTGTTAAATAAAATAAGTGGCCCAATACTATAAAAGTTTAACATAAGCTTACCCGGGTTTAATGTCTTGCATTAGTGAAAATTATTTTTAATAATAATATTTTTTTTTCAGTCGAACAAGTAATAAACAAAAAAGAAGCGCTTTTTAATTAATTTAAGCGATAGGCAATTTTAGGCACGTTTGAGATGTAGACCATGTGTTCATACACGGTCTTTGATCGATATTTTTTTAAATAAAGTAGTCATGTGTGCATTCCCGCTCCTTGACTTTTCAATATTAATTGTATTTAAATCATGTGTACCGACACGTTTTTTATTTTAATACATATAATCAAATAAGGACTTTGTGTGCTTGCACGCTCCTAGGCCAAAATTATTAATTATTAAGCAATACTAGACAATAGTAACTTAAGGCAAATAATACACACTTTATCCAAAAATAATTCAAGCCAAATTTTAGTCAATAAAAGCGACCGTGCTAGAACCACGGGATTTGGGGAATCCTTACACCTTCTCCCCAGTTAACAGAATTCCTTGCCCGGACTTTGTTTTCGCAGACCAATAATAATAAAGTCAAATCTTCCTTTGATTAGGGATTCAAATAAAAGGTGACTTGGAACACCAACAAAATCAATTCCAAGTGACGACTCTGTAAATAAAATAATCCCTACTAAATTTTGTCACTTTAATTGGAAAAATCCTTTAATCCACACATTATTATTTTGCGGGTAGAAAAAGGGGTGTGACAGCTCTGGCGACTCTACTGGGGACTTCAAGAATTCGAGCTTGTACATTGACTTTATACATGAGCTTCGGGTAACCAAATATGAACTGGTACCATAGGCACTTTGACGGCGAAAGAGGCGAAAGAAGCAATCCATAGAAAGATTTGGCGCCGCTCACTAAATTCTGTGGTTAATGAGATTTGTAAATCGGTTGTTCCTGTTTGGAGAAGAATCAACAGAATAGCTAATNCTTCAAGAATTCGAGCTTGTACATTGACTTTAATTGGCTTTATTAATTTTTGTATATATTGTGATTTATTTGGGCCTAATGTGTTACTTGTCGAGTTTTTACCGTTTTGATATTGTTGAACTGTACATATAAATTGTATCTTCTCTTGCATCCCTCTAAGTCTTCTGATAATTAGTTATGTTGTGTTTGCCTACGAGCATCACAAAATTTCTGTCTTGAGATAAAGCCAGTTAGTCTACCAGCTTCTGGTGAAGGATTTAGTCACACGTCTTTAGGCGGGAGAGCCGTTAGCTAGCCAGTGCTGTTCTACTACTGGTGACGCTTGACGCTCCTCGGCTCGGGTTGTCCGCCTGGGTAAGCCAGCTCTAGATACCATCTCCTTTAGGATTTACAAACTTAGAAGAACAAGCCACAAGCAATGAATATCCCTAGTAAGCTACACTTTATTTGCATCATGTGCATTTGACTTAGCATCGCTCGACGCAGAGGCCGAGTTCTGTTTTAGGACATGTACCTTGTTGAGACCATTATGTCATGTTATGTGCTACTTGTTGCATTATTTGGGAGGCTTGCATTTCGACCGACTTCAGCATAAATCAGTTGAATGAACAGAGAAAAAATGATGTGGTCTAGTGCATATGGTTTTTAAAGATTAATTTTCATAAAAATAAAAAAAATAAAAAAAGTCGGTTTTGACCGAACTACGCAGGTCTAATTCTCACCGGATGTGAGATACGTAGGCAAATCTCATCGGTTCCGGCCCCAAGTTTTTTTTTAAAAAAAGAAAAATTCAAAAATAGTTTCCCTTTACTTGATTCCCTCTCTAGAATTCTTTCCTTAGAAAATCCAAAAAAAAAATCCAAAAATATTTTCCTTCTTTTCCGAAGCCTTTCATTCAAAAAAAAAAAGAACAAAAAGAATCTTCAAATCAAAATCCAAAATATTTTCTTCCTTCTTTAGAATTCTTTTTTTTAAAAAAAGAAATAAATTTCAAAATTCCATAAAAAGAAAAAACAAACTCAAAATATATATTTAAAAATATTTATAAATAAAAAAAAGAAAAAAAATGAAAAATGGGCCAATCTATTCCCAATCTTCCTGAACTACGCAAGATCTGATTCATGCGGCGTCATGATACGTAGGCAATCCCCATCAGATTCGATCATTGCATCAAATAAACTGAAAAAAAAGAGAGAAGAAAGGAAGAAAAAATAGAGTGACAAAAATAACAAAGAAAACAAAAGGCAAAAAAAAAATGAAAAAAAGAAAAGAAAAGAAAAAAAGAAAACAAGAGTAAAAATCCAAAAAAGAGAACTATGTGTCTAGTTTGACAAAGAAAACGGCGAAAAGTTTTTGTGAATATGCTGTCAAATGGCGCGAACAAGCCGCCATCGTAAAGACTCATATGGACGAAGCATTAATGGTTACGGTCTTCCAATAGGCCCAAGAGGCGGACTACTTCCAGAACACGATGTCCGCTATGGGTAATCCGTTTGCCGAGGCTATCAAAATTGGGGAGATGATCGAAAATGGTTAAAAAAACAGGTCAAATCTTGAGTTATACTGCCTTTAAAGCCACATCACAGGTCGTTGCACCGCCTCCCTATGCAGTGATGAACGCGCAACCTTACATACGACCACTGCATTATACACAAAACTGAGATCCACTTTCCAGAAATGCCCGTTCTTACCAAGTTCCATATAATCCCCCAACCAAATGATCCCCAGTATAATCCTTGCCCAAGAGAGCCTTTCAGAAAGAATCAGTTCACCCCTATTGGTGAATCATACTCGAGCTTGTTCCAAAAGCTAGTCAGGCTAGGTCTGTTGCAGCCAGTGGCCCCGAACCGGCCAAGCCCAGAGTCCCCCTCGCACCGGGCTAATGCTAGATGTGAATACCACTCTAGAGCAGTGTGACATGATACGGAAGACTGTTGGAATCATAAGAGAGCAGTGGAAGACCTCATCGAGGTCAAGGCAATAATGCTTAGGGATGAAGATGCCTTTAATATGATGAACAATCCTTTGCATGTTCACACCAATGAGCCAGTAGTTGGAATGATCTGTGAAGATGAGGAATTTGATCCGGCATTGAAAGCCATTGCATCCATTGCCGAGACAGAAGAAAAGCAAAAAATGGTCGCCAAACCTGAAAGTCCCCCATCAGACGGGAGACTCGGTAGCCAGTCTTGTTATCCTTTCTGCATCCAGATTATTTCAGGGTGTAATCCGGATATTTTACATTATTGTCTTACTTTCCGATGAAAACCCTTCTATCTTTTAAATTCAAAATAAAAAAAATTCAAAGTAAAAAAAAAAAAATCAATTAAATGAAATTAATATTTCATTGTCTAGGAATGTTCTCTTTTCTTAATCTTGTCACCTTTCTTATTCTCTTTTTGAAGTTCTGTTAATGCAGATTTTAATAACATGACATGCTTGCGGACTTCATGCCCAGATCTTAAAACGCCGTCAGACCTCGAAATAATGAATCAAGAAGCAGAATGTGTTAAAGATAAAGCTTGTGAGAAAATAAACAAAGAATTGGAACACTAGGCCTAAGCCAAGTCCAAATGAAATCGGAAGAAGTTGAAATTCCCTCTCTTCGGATCATTGT